ATTACACACTGTGTGTATATATATATATATATATATATATATATATATACAAATATATACATACATATATATACAAATATATACATACATATATATACAAATATATACATACATATATATACAAATATATACATACATATATATACAAATATATATACACATATATATACAAATATATATATATACACATATATGCATACACATATATACAAATACATACATATACATACATACACATATATGCATACATATATATACATATACACATATACATATATATATACATACATATATACATACATATATATACATACATATATACATATATACATACATATATACATATTGAAATTGTTCTAAAAAACTCTAACTGTATTTCTACATTTGCAAGAGGAACGGACTGGTCACTGATAATGATACAAAGCAATACGATTTAAAATGTGTGATTTAAAGTGAACCAGTGTGGCCTGCAAAACTTTTTTTTCTTTTATTGCGAGCGAGGAAATGTTTACATGCTTAAGTTATGCCCTGCAGCTTTAAGACTTCTCGTTCAAAGATTTGGGTATACGTTTCTTGACCTGACTTGGATTTTGACATGGCTGGTTTAATTACAGGGTTCTCTAGCAGGTTAGTTTGTGTGTAAAAGACAAAATGGGTTAGCACTGATCCAGATGAGCTGCCTGCTGAGTGGAGACACTGCCTGAGATTAGTCAGCAGACTGTTCAGTTGTACCTATAGGGCTCAGTCAGAGTGTTTCGCATATTTCTTTCTTTCTCTCCCAGGGGAACTCTCTTCCAGAGCATGCTCCAATCCCAGGCTCCTCTAGCAAAGCCATCTTTGTCTCCTCCACCCTGGCCTTCGATGGTGTACTTCTCTCCGTGGATGGAGTCGATCAGAGGCACAGTACACACCGTTCTGATGCAGGGATGAGGTGGGGTGGGACCATGCATACAAGATACATGGGGGGAGGAGGTGTAGGGGTCGTGTATACACGAAGGAGGGGAGGGAGGGGGGAACAGACACACAGCGGTGCCAATACAGCACAAAGACATGGGGTGGGGGTGTCAACGGACCAGAAGAGAGCGAGACACGTTGGAAGATAGGACAGACGGGGTGGACGGGTGGGAGATGGAGACACAAACAGAACATGCGTCAGTGTTAATAAGCTGCCTCTGCAGAGTGTGTGTGTACCGGTAAGGCTGGGTCGTGTGCTTTCGGTCGGCCCTCTCTCTCTGGCTCAGTGGGACCCTCTTCCACAGCAGACTCCAGTCCCACGCTCCTCGAGCCAGGCCGTCCTCATCGCCGCCCTGCTGAGGCTCCATAGTGTACTCATTACCATCTATATAGTCTATCAGGGGTACTGTACACACTGTCCTACACACACAAATATGCACACACACACAGAGAGACACCCCTCTGTCTGTATAGCTTTGCACAGTGGAGGACCAGTTCTAGTCCTAGTCAAAGAGTGGTGAGAAGCGGGCAGGCAGGTGTATAGAAAGTATAAAAATGTACTTTGTAGAATGTAAAATGTTCATTTTTTTTAACATGACAAAGGGCGCCATTAAGTATCTGGTTCCTCTATCAATAAAAAAAAAAAAATTGTATTGACTTTTTACTAAATTAATTAAGATAGATCCAGTTGTGGGTCTTTCTAAAGCAAATCAGTTTCTGACTCATTATCCCTTATCACTATCTGATTGTCCAATTGAAGCGTATGAGTCAAACAACTTAGAACATTCTCATGCAGGAGCTGGTACCAAGAACTGGCAGGAACCTCCATCTCTATGAGAGTGGAGCTTGTGTGTGCTGCACATTTAAGAGGTTGGGTCGTTTGTTTTTTTCTTTGTTGCCAACTGATTCAAACACACTTGTTACAAAGTACAGAGCCAGTTCATATGTAGATAAGATAGAGAGCAAAACAGTCTGAGATGAATGGACCACAGTGGTACATTATCAGTTATTGTACAAGTTGTTATTACGGAGACGTATTTAAAAGTTAGAAGCGTGAGGATAAACAACAATGTGCATGTGTGTGTGTGTGTGTGTGTGTTACCTGTCTTTTGATATGGGCGCAATCAATGGAGCATACCAGTTGATTCCCACCTCACAATGAGCATCAAGATAAATGAGCACCTGGAGGAGACACATACACACAGATACACACATACTATTTTAATGGTAAAACATACACAAATAATAATCCCTTAAAGAATGGTGGACCATTAACCTGGTCCTTGTTCAATCTCCTGAAACTGTTTTCAATTACGTTAATCAATACTGAGCAATCTTACACTACAGATGGTTGGACAGCTGACTGTTAGAGTCGAGGGTTAATAGACCGACCTTGAAATTCATGACAAAGGGCGCCATTAAGTATCTGGGTCCTCTATCAATAAAAAAAAAAAAATTGTATTGACTTTTTACTAAATTAATTAAGATAGATCCAGTTGTGGGTCTTATAAAGCAAATCAGTTTCTGACTCATTATCCCTTATCACTATCTGATTGTCCAATTGAAGCGTATGAGTCAAACAACTTAGAACATTCTCATGCAGGAGCTGGTACCAAGAACTGGCGATCTCGAAAGTCTCGAAAGTCTCTATGAAAGTGGAGCTTGTGTGTACTGTACATTTAAGAGGTTGAGTCTTAACTTGTTATTATTGAGATGTATTTAAAAGTAAGAAGCGTGAGGATAAACAACAATGTGCATGTGTGTGTGTGTGTGTGTGTGTTACCTGTCTTTTGATATGGGCGCAATCAATGGAGCATACCAGTTGATTCCCACCTCACAATGAGCATCAAGATAAATGAGCACCTGGAGGAGACACATACACACAGATACACACATACTATTTTAATGGTAAAACATACACAAATAATAATCCCTTAAAGAATGGTGGACCATTAACCTGGTCCTTGTTCAATCTCCTGAAACTGTTTTCAATTACGTTAATCAATACTGAGCAATCTTACACTACAAATGGTTGAACGGCTGACTGTTAGAGTCGAGAGTTAATAGACTGACCTTGAAATTATTTTTTTTTTTTTTAAGTTAATAAGGCTGGTTTGTTAACTTATATATTTGGATGGACATATTTTAAACGTTCTTTTTTTCAGCTGGATGTTGCTTTTAATGTATAATTCTTTGGCATATTCACATACTTTCATTGATTAATTCACGTGTTCATCTTGTAATATTTTACAAATGTTATGTACAGGACGTCAACTTACCTGTCCTTTGGTGGCCTTGTGCGCTCCAATACTCCTGGCCTGGATCAGTCCTTCTCTCTTGTCATTTCTGAAGAGTTTTACGAGACCGTTCCACTGCTTTATGTAGTCCTCAAGGCGTTCCTTTAGGTGGGCTATGCACACACAGAAACATAGCTGCAATATAGTATACAACCACAATTTGAATAAACCACTGAATCCTTGGAGAGAAAAAAAAAACTGCAGCTGCTCCCATGGTTTTGGATGCAAAACTGTATCCAAGAAAGTCTTGGACAAAGATCACCTGTAAG